TCCCTGTAAAATGGCAGTAGGACATCCTTCCAGGGGTCCCAAATTGGAGAGGGTGCAGGCCAGGCTGAGGAACATACCCTCCCCCGTGCATGAATTTTGTGAACCGGGCCACTAGTTTATAAATAAATTTATATATTATTTTCATATACATTTTACTAATTTGTTTTCATCTCTCACACTTCTATTATAGAGAAAGGGCAAATAGCAATATTGAAATATCTCCACTAATTAATTCCCTTTTAATATGCACAAATTCCGTGCACCGGGCTACTAGTATAATAAAACCCTAATATGCAAATTGACCAAACAGCAGAACGACTGGTCATTATGATGCACACTGACCACTAGGGGGCAGACGCTCAATGCAGAAGCTGCCTCCTGGTGGTCAGTGTGCTCCCATAGGGGGAGCACCATTCAGCCAGAAACCGGGCTCACAGCTGGCAACACAGCTGGCAAGCACAGTGGTGGTGGCAGGAGCAGGCGAGCGGTAAGGAGCAAGGGGTTCCGGACTGCAAGAGCCCCAGAATGCGAGAGGGATGTCTGAATCCCCAGGGAGATCGGGCCTAAGCCAGCAGGCAGACATCCCCCAAGGGGTCCTGGATGGTGAGAGGGTACAGGCCAGGCTGAGGAACCCCTTCCCCCCCCCCCCCACCAGGGCACGATTTTCATGTGCCGGACCTCTAGTATAAGAATAAAACTGAACCAAACTCTCTAACCCCTAGGGGTGATGGGTATACTAAGCTCATATTATTGTCATTACTTTTATGAATGTTTTATAATAAAAAGTTGCTAAAAATAAAAAATTAAGTATTAAACATATGTATAGTACTATAATTTGGACAAAATAGAGAATAAAAATTCAGAATATTTTCAAATTATAATGACTTACATATGCACAAATACAGACTACATTTAAAATGCCAATTAGGTATCTAATTGCATCAATTATACATTTCTGCTTTTAAATCACTATGGCTAAGAATTTTTCTATTTTGGTTCTCGTTATGGTACATAAACACCATGTTTCACTTTTTAAAGTATCAATAATTCATAGTATTTCCTGTTCTTTCAATACATTATAAATAGAATTGACAAAAAACAAAAACAGAAAATACCTTTTTTCTGTAAATCATTAGAGCTTTAATGTTCACGGCTAGAACCCATAGCATCTGGAAATATGATACATGCCAGAGCAACTTAATATCCAGTTAGGAAATAAGCACAGGTACTGCTAAGTTTGAAAATATTTTTAAAGTTTCATATCTCAACACTCCTTCCCAAAATTACCTTCCCAAGACAAATATAGAGACTTCTCTACTATTTCCTCTGTGAATTAAACCTTCTTATGCTATTGAAAATGATGGAAAACATGAGGAAAATGTTTGTAAGAGTTAGAATAATCTCATCAAGCATTACTGGGACATATTCTGAACGTAATTAAAGAGGAATATGGGAATAAAAAAATATTCTTTGACAGATGAGCCTGCCATGTCATGAGAATTTGCAGCCTGTCTGCACAGAATGAATTTCCTATTGAGGCAAAATGCTCCCTCTGATGATAAAGGAACCAAAATACCTTTTTAAAACCACAGAACTGTTATAAGAACAGTAAGAGGTGCTGTGTGACACATCGCAATTATGAGCTACTAATACCGACAAATGATTCAGAATCTATATAAGCAGGCTGAGCTTCAGTGAAAGCTTCAGGATGGCCATAAAAATGGTGGGGGGAGGGGGGGAGCGGTACAATCACTGCCTAGAAACACCTGCAACAAACTACTGATGATGAACGATAGAAGACTGGTCTCTCAGAGTAATCTTGAGGAGGTCATATTAAGAGCCGTGTCATTAATTTATTCCACTTTTATTAAATAATTGAAGTTCTATAACAGGCACTTTATTTATATTCTGAAAGAGTAGGTAATTGAGCTGGATGGCCTCTAAGGCAATGGTGCCCAGATTTTTGTAATTTCCTGAATGATACAACTTTTTAAATTTTATTTTGGGGATTCCAACTTTCACTACCATTTTAAAAGTGACATTTCAATAATAAAAAGCTGGGTATATTTAGCTTTACAACAAACTCACCACATTATCTTCCTCTTTCTCATTCACTACGGAAGTGCTATCACAGACTGCTTGTCATAGCCTAGTACCAGTCTGTGGATTGTTTAGCTTTGGACACCATTATTCTATACCTTCCCTTCCAATATTGAGTGGAAATCACAGAGGCTAAGATCTTTTGATTCTCAAAATGTTAGAGAAGCTGATCTTTTTAGTTATTTGAATGGAAAAGTATATCTGTCATCTTGAGAGGCAATTTTTTCAGCCAATCTATTTCTCTGAATGATTATGCATTATCATCTAATTTCCTCACCAGCCGTTTTCCTTTCCAAATCATTTTATGAAACAGGTACTTTAGATACATAGTTTATTGTAGCAAGGAAATCACTTTTGGCTAATATTTTAGAGGCTAGTTTAAAAGTCCAGATTTTTTAAAGTAAGTAGCTAGCTGATCTTATAATGTGCTTGAAATGGTAGATTCGAACACTCAGAAAACACAAAAGTTGATGATCGTGGAGTTTATTTTGAATAATTCTCATGTATTTGAGTATAGCCTCAAATTCTTCAAATAATCATATAGAAATCTTACTTTTATATTTTTCTGATGAAAGGGAAAATTTGCTTATAGATTATTATAATCCTATCAATAGAATTTGGAGCTACTAAAAATATTGTAAAGAAGCTCTGTGATAGAGGTGGTTATTTTCTATCATTAACATCATGATTTCTTTTTTTAAAAATATATTTTATTGATTTTTTTACAGAGAGGGAAGGAGAGGGATAGAGAGTTAGAAACATCGATGAGAGAGAAACATCGATCAGCTGCCTCTTGCACACCTCCTACTGGGGGATGTGCCCGCAGCCAAGGTACATGCCATTGGCTGGAATCGAACCTGGGACCTTTCAGTCCACAGGCTGACGCTCTATCCACTGAGCCAAACCGGTTAGGGCAACATCATGATTTCTTAAGAACTTCTACATACAAGGCTCTACTACATCAGAACTCACTCTTGTGTTGGAGAATTAGGACAAGGAAGATGTGTGATTCTAGACAAACGAATATCTCAGGAGTTCCCAATCACTAACCATGAGATCTCAGATGAGTTATCTCATCTCTCTTAGTTGCCTTAGGTTATTAAATAACCTCTGAGCCTTCTTTTAGCTATGGCCTTTTGATTCTTAAAATTCTGAAGTGTAGTGCCTAAACAAACACAACAACAAATACCTTAGGAAACTATACTTTTCCAATGATAGACCAATATTAAGTAGTCTCATTACTTTATATATGTGTAATTGTATTCCTGTGTAAGTGAATGTATATGTATATGAAGACATATTAGGGAATGTGATTCCATCCACTTAAACCACCAATATTGTTTGTAAATAACCTGTACCTGGTTCCAAAACAACCTTATCCCCCAAAAGAGATCTGCCACAACCAAGTATATTCAAGAGAATGCGCTACAGTTTGAAAAGGCTATAACAAAAATGCTTCGAGCAATAGCAGCAGAGTTGGGCTAAGATAGCAAGTATGAAGAAGGCAATATGTACTAAATATAACAAGTATGGATATGAGAATGATTTCTCAACTTTGAGCTCCCCTTAACTTAATTACACTTTCAATCATGGCTTCTTCAGCCTCAAGAGTTTTAGACTCCCTATCCCATAAATAAGAAAGGAATTAATTGGATAGAAAATAAGAAAAGGGAAATAAAGTAGAGGAGAACAGAATTACTGCCACGAATGACTTGGGAGAGGGACAGGAAACGGAAAAAGTACACCAAAGCCTTGGAACTGGACTCCTTTACCTTTTAGGTTGAGGAAGCCGGATTGTCAGGAACTAATGGCACTCAGTTGGGACCTAAGGCAATGTAACACCTGCTGAAATAGGAGGTTGGAGGGGGAATACTCATTCACATCAGTTACATACAATGAACCATTAATAGCTTGTATGTCCAGTTTTATCTGTCTCTGGAACCATGGTAGGAACTCTGCATCATAAAATTTGCTGGAGGATCAACGAGTACACTCAAGAAAAAGAAAATCTTTTTGTATGCGCACCCTCTACAACAAAAGCAAAATGAATCTGTAAGCATAGAGTTGAAATCAAGAATGATAGAGAACCTTCAAAGTTTATAGCTTTAATTCTTCAGAATTTCATAACTATTCTAATATACATTTTAGAGTGCTGAGATTAATATTTTATTTTGGTAATTGTAAAAAAAAAAAAATCAGATGAGCTTTTATAAGCTTGCTTGTGCCCACAAAATCCCCCAAACATATTTCCTCCAATATGTTGTAAATCTTCCAACTTTGAATTCATGGGGTTTGCAGATAAGAGTTTCTGAATTTGAGAATTTTGTTGTTTCCCTTCTTGTCACACTTTGCACTATAAAAGATGGTCAGAAATAAAAATGTGGTAGTGAAAAAAGCACTTTGGTCATCCCTTGATGGGCTTGGTCAATAAATATTTCAGCAGAAAAATATTGTGCTCGTAATAAATAGGAAGGCAATTTCTAACCAGAAAGTTTTTGAGGAGTTAAAAATAAAATAACTTTCAAATGATTCCATATATGAATCTATACACTTTTCCTTAGCTTATCCAAATTGTATCTCACCCTAGCCAGCTTGGCTCAAAGGATAGAGAGTTGGCCTGCTGACTGAAGGGTCATGGGTTCGGTTCCGGTCAAGGGCATATGCCTGAGTTGCAGGCTTGATCCCCAGTGGGGGGTGTGCAGGAGGCAGCCGTTCAATGATTCAATCTCATCATTGATATTTCTATCTCCCTCTCCATTCCTCTCTGAAATCAATAAAAATATATTTAATAAAAAAAAAAGACTAATCAAATTGTATCTCTAGAATTCCATTTGGAGGTATCTGTGAGCTCACTGAGTAGACACCATGAGAAAAGCTCACCCTCTCATTAAAAAACATTTTTGGACAAGAAGTTATCATTGAAATTAAATGGTTATAGACATGTCCAAAGAATATTGTGGGGATTTGATCTCTTTAAGAATCTTGGGATAGATGAATGTGTGGAGATAGCAACTAGACAGAACAATATTGGAATGGTGGTAATACAAGGAAATAGTATTATCATGTTAGAAGCCTTGAAACGAGAATGTCTGCATTCACAAGAGAAATCAACTGCTTCCACATGTCCCCTCTCCACAGCACCTGTTTTACCACAAAATAAAAATTGGGTCATGCACATTTTCATATTGAACTTGTTGTTAAATAAACTTTTGAAATAGTAAAAAACAAACAAATTTTACCTCTAGTCCAAGATCTAAATCAAGTCCCACCTCCTTAACAAAAACCCTAGTCTAGAGAACTTTACTCAGCCCTTCTCTGAAATTTAATGGTAGTCACTAAATAATTATTTACTGAATGTTTACTAGATGTCAAGTAATTAACCTAGCCTGTCTTCCAAAAAGGGGAAAAGAGGTAAGCAATTTGACAACCATATAATGTCATATAAATCCATTTGACTATTTTATAAGTAGAGTTGGTGTTATCTTCCCAATTAGATTAAAATCTCCTGAAGAACAAACACAATGTCTTGTATTTCTTTCTCTTGTATCATTCTTAATGCCTAACTCAATATAGTCAATAAAATAAATGCAGCAAGCATTTCAAGAAGTTATTCTGAACTAAAATGACTTTGAATTGAAAAAAATACAAAGAAAAACTAAGGGAAGAAAACCACCTACATAATAAAAGCCTAAGCGACCATTACAGCGGAACAACAGAACGACCAACCGGTCACTATGACACACACTGACCACCAGGGGCAGACGCTCAATGCAGGAGCTGCCCCCTGGTGGTGAGTGCACTCCCACAGGGGGAGCGCTGCTCAGCGAGAAGCCGGGCTCACGGCTGGCGAGCGCAGCGGCAGTGGCAGGAGCCTCTCCCGCCTCTGCGGCAGCACTAAGGAGCAGCGAGCAGGCAGGTGGTAGGAGCAAGAGGTCCCAGATGGCGAGAGGGCACAGGCCTGGCCGAGGGACTCCCCCCAACCAGTACATGAATTTCATGCACCGGGCCTCTAGTTTTAAATAATTAGTAAGAATAATTTGGTATGTGCATATCTAATTTATATAAAGTAACTCCAATTCTAGGAATTTATCAAGTGAGTACATCTTGCTCCAGAGGACTCAGGAGAGCTGCCAGATGACTGGTCTTATGAATAATCACATGAATAATTGCAGTGTGGCTCCAGCAGGTTTGGCTCAGTGGATAGAGTGTTGGCCTGCAGACCAAAGGGTCCAGGGTTCGATTCTAGTCAAGGACATGTACTTTGGTTGCAGGCTCCTCCCCGGCCTGAGCCACGGTAGGTGCTCATGCAGGACGCAACTAATTGATGTGTTTTTCTCACATCCATATTTCTCTCTGTCTTTCCCTCTCTCTTCCACTCTCCCTAAAAATCAATGGAAAAATATCCTCAGGTGAGGATTAACAACAATAAAATAAAAAATAAAAACTCTTCTTTAAAAAAATAATAATCTCATTGAGGCTAGCAGAAAAATTGTTCAGCTGAGCTCAACCTATACTGCTAACCTACAAATCCAAGAGTAAATAAAGTGTTTCTTATTGTTAAGCCACTAAATTTTTGGTTATTTGGTTGCATAGTAATATCAAACTGATTCAATTATATTAAACTAGAAGCCCGGTGCACAAAATTCGTACACAGCTAGGGGTTGGGTCCCTAGACCTGGCCAACGATCAGGGCTGATCTTTCAGGGTGACCGGCGGGGTGATCGGGGGCCCCCCACTGGCACCTGCCTTGGCTGGCCTGGCACAGCCTGCTCGCAGGTTGGGGCCTGCAGGATGGGGGCAGCTGTTGCGTTGAGCGTCTGCCCCCTGGTGGTCAGTGCGCATCATAGCGACCAGTCATTCCACCAGTTGTTCTGCCATTCATTCGATTTGCATATTAGGCTTTTATTACATAGGATATTATTTTCCCCAATAAATTGGAAAACAATTTAAAAGTAAAATAATTTTAAAAATATAGGTTAGGAAAATAAGAAAATATTGAACTCTGGTTAATGATGCTCAAGTACTTGAAGGGAGAGGAGTACACTAATGTCTACAACTTAGTTTGAAATACAAGATGGACTGATAGGTAGAGAGAGGGCTAGTTCAATTGAAATGTAATAAAGCAAGTATAATAAAATGTTAGCTGTAGAACCTTATGTTTGTGTTCACTGTAACATTATTTTGACATTTTTGCATATGTTTTGCAAATAAAAAGTTTTGTTTTTTTAATAAAAATGTTGGAAGAACAGGTTGGGTCATATGGTGCATTCACACTATGGAATATTATGTAGTCATTAAAAATAATGGGGTAGAAGAATATTATCAAAATTGACTGATAAATCTTTTAAATGCAAAGTGTAAAATAGTATGTGCAGTATGTTATTTTTGTAAAACACAAAATAAAAAGTACATACATAGAGAAAAAAGAAGCAAGGGGCATATGCAAAATTATTACTCTGGACATGGGATGAGGATATTTTTTTTCTGTCAGTCATTGTTCCCTGTTTCTAAACATGTGCTGTTTTTATATCACTAACTAAGTGACCCCTCACTATGGCCCCACAGAAGACACCTAGGTTCACATCTGAGAGGGGACAGGGACACACCCACCAGCTTCGTGCCCTGTGTTCATGTTGCCTCCCGTAGCACAGCCAGCTCTTAGAAGACATGGGATGATGATTTTTACATTTCCTTTTAACATTGTGTGTTTTCCAAACTGTCTTAGGAAACATTAAAAAGTAATTAATAGTGAAAATGTTTAATAATGAGTTTAAATTCTCTCATTTTGAAAATAACTTTTTAAAAAAATAAAGATGCCCAATGTTTTAGAATAAGAGGAGATGAAATAAGGAGAATGGAGTTTGGTGAATAGTAAGAAAGAGTTGGCTTAACCACATGGAAGTATTTGATACCAAAAGTAACTCTATGCTAGAACAGAAACTATAGCTTTCCTCTTTCTGGAAACAGTCTCTCTGAGAAAGGAAGCTATGCTAGTGACCTCCTGAGATCTCTTCTAGTTTTATAGTTGTTGTTTTAAGTAATGGCATAGCTGATATTTACAGTATATTCAATCAAAGAGTCAAAATATAGCCAGGCCCTGGCTGGTTTGGCTCAGTGGACAGAGTGTCGGCTCTGAAGGGCCTGGGTTCGATTCCGGTCAGGGCACATGCCTGGGTGGGCTCGATACCCCATGGGGGGGCATGTAGGAGGCAGCTGATCAATTACTCTCTTTCATCATTGATGTTTCTATCTCTCTCTCCCTCTTCTTTCCTCTCTGAAATCAATAAAAATATATTTTAAAAAATATGTAGCCAGATATTATAATTAATTTGGAGACATTATTCCCTCCCTAAATTTAGGCTATGATAGAAACCTGGAAATTGAAAGAAGAAAAGAATACCAATAAAGGAGGGACTCTAATCCAGTCAGCTAACAGCCAAACCTTCCATCAATTCCTGCCTGGGTCTACTTAACATTGAGGTAATTTTAATCCCCATCTGAGAGAAAATAAAAAAGATATTTCAGAATAAAACTCTATAGAAATTTTGAAAATTAATTTTGATACCAAAAAAACTATGGGAATAACAAATCAATATCATCCTACAACCTATGAAGAGTTGGCCTAGCACATGGGTGCGTGTGTGTGTTTTAAGTGAACTCTAAGAAAAACTTGCCCAGGTTAAAGTGCCTTAATATGAAAGTGCAAAACACTAGGGGAGAAAATGTTTCTGTGAAAGATGTGACCTCGTGATGGCGGAGGTCTATAGTGGAATGGTGAAGCTGGAGATAGTGCTGTGAACAGCTTAAAACTCAACCTAAAAAAAGGATCAATCACTATTTTCACTTCAATTCAATGATAAATGTAAATTTCAGAATGTGGAAATAAGTAACAGCCTTTCTAACAAAAGTCTTCAACCAATATTGAAGTAAAACCTGCGTTAAAATAAGAACCTTAAACACTTCCCGTGACATGTTCATAAATTGCAAGGCAAGGTATTTAAAAACCATTAGTTATTCAAAATCCATTGAGTACCTAATTGTTTTGAAGGAAAATTCACAAAATTCTCATACTGGAATGAATCTCTCCTTAGTGTCTTAAAACAAACAAAAGAGAAACAAACACAAGTTGCTTTTATCAACCTTGCTAAGGTTTCAACACCACTGTTAACATACACTCTTTCTCAGGAATACTGTCAGCCCAACACAAGCTCAGTTATTATACTAGACGTTTTTAAACTCAGAATGAAAAATAAGACCCAAGATCCAAGCCCCAGATTCCCATTTCTGAGATTTTTAATGAGTGTTTTCGAGATTCTTTAAAAAAAAAAAAATCTATGGTTTCTTTTATTTAAAAAAAATTTACATAGATTGATCTTTAAATTTTAAAAAATGATTCTGACAAATTACTCTTCATTTTCACAGAAGATAATGGCCCTATTAAAGGAAATAATAATAGGGCATGGATTAAATGGACTCTAAAAGAATATGATATTGATGTATCTGCATTTTCCAGCTCATTCATTGAAAGGATTAGCTGTAACCAGTGCAGTAGCTATAAAATGTTGAGAGAGATTGGTTCCTAAGAACTGCCAGATGGTCAGAAGAAAATATCTTACAATAGTGTTATTGGAGCCCTTCAGACAAGGACAGATATAATCTAGCTCTGAAAGCTGTCAGGTATTATGAAGTGTTACTTTCTTTTTGTAAATAAGCTATGAGATTTTGTCACATGTTTGAGAAATGGAGAACAACCAAAATTTCTAACGAAGTCCCCAAGGCTTCTCATAAGCTAGGCAATTCTCCCTAGCTATAAGTGTTTTTTCCAGTCCATCTTAAATGTTAAAGCTAATTGTTTAGTAAACAATATTCAAGAACCCACCTGTGTCAGGATCCACAGAAAATATAGGATTTTACTCTCTGTGTTGCTAACAGATTTATAATTGGTCAAAATTTAAAAGACATGCTAAATGGGTGAGTCCTAAGTCCTACCCAGACAAAATGCATACATTTTTCTTAGGTAATTATGGCTTTTTACTGACGTGTGCAATTACTCAATCTAATCATGCAATGCCAGTTAGCAACTTGCAAATATGAGGGTTGGCATATAAACTGAACACCTGTGATAGAATGCAACTCTTCTGAACATAATATTTTGAAAACATGACTTTACCTGCTTCTTCCTTTTTGTTTGCTTATATCCTCTAACCATCACCTTGCC